AATATATTTAATTGATTCCTTGATGCAAATGTTCAGATCTTTAATGTTTAAAATGTTTATGTGGTGTTTTAATACGAGCTGTAAATGGAAATCCATCCAATATATTGATATATTTCAGATTCTTTACGTATTGATACATTTACTGTAAAGATAAATATCAATATATCAATATACGCTCACTCACCCGTACTTGTTGCGCGCCCTGTACCAGTTGATGTCGCACTTTTGCAGAATGACGTACTCGTCTCCCTTCACCAGACTCAGGTCGTGTGGTTCTGCACCCGGGAAGTCGTACAGCGCCACCACCATCTCCTCTTCATCCTCCTCATCATCATCATCATCATCACCGTCACAGTCATCATCGTCATTGGTGCCAGACGGAGGGACGGGAGGAGGGGGCCGCCGCTGGATGATGATGAAGAAAAATGACATAATTGTCAGTTTGTGTGTGTGTGTGTGTGTGTGTGTGGGGGTTTGGGTGTGGGTGCGCGGTTACCTTCTCTCCAGGAATCGGGGGTAAAGGTTTTCTGGAAACTAGAAAAGAGGAACAGAAACAGTCAGCGAAGGCAGAACATTTCTTTATCATCTTCATCTCTGCTGTTCTGTCCTCTGACCTTTGACCTCTCACCACTGCTGCTGACTTGTAAACGTTACGTAAATTATTACGTAATGTTGGCGAGATTGAGAACTGAAGCTCACGCTGCTGCAGCAGTTGCTAAGAGAATCAGCAAACGGCTTAAATTTAACGTTATTTCCTGTTTTTCTTTCACACTCTGTGAATCATGGGTTTCAGGTTCTATGCTGCAAAAATATCCAGCAGGAAGTATTTTTAAACATCAATGTTTCGCTGTTTTTGCATATTTTAAACCATTTACCACCAATCAGAAAACTGTACAATGAAGTAAAGTTACCCAAATACCTCAAATACTCAAATTTTATGTGCTTAATATATCTTTTATACTTCTTTCCTGTTTCTTTTTTTAAACTCAGCCACATTTATCTGACAGCTGGTTACTTTCTATAAACTGCTTGAGTTGCTGTAGCTTTAACTGTCCACAAAGTAGTTAGTTTAAACATGAATGCATTCATAATTTAGCAACAAAATACTTTAAAATAAGTACTTAAGACACTTAAATGGACGTATGTCTACGTCAAACTAATGCCGAATTACTTTGATACTTAAGAAAACTTAAAAACATGATAATTCTCAGGTTCTGCAGTTATATTTTTCATGGACTTCTCACTGTGTGTATCTGTAGAACCAAAACTATAAGAGCTGCACAGTTAATATTAGAAAAATGTAGTGATGTGTTCATATTGTGTAACTAATTACTAATAAATCCACCCAAAAAATAATTAGTTATGTTACTTTTGTTGTTTGAAATCTATTTTGTAGTAGTAATATTTTTGTAGGATGGAAACATTCAGCAGCTGCAATAGTCACATTAATTTGATTTTAACATGAAAAAACTGGATTTTAATCGTCGTACTTCTGAATTTTGGGGAGAAAGGACACAATTACCGATTAAAGCTGCGAGTATGTCTGAATATTGGCATGTAGATGTGTTTAGGACGAGACATTTGGTGCAGATTGTACAAAGTACACTGAAGTTATGACAACTTCCTGTTTCATGGCGAGACGTAGAAATTCGACGCCAAGCCACGGGTCACGCCGTTCGACGTACAGTCACAAATAGCACAACTTTAAATCATGACGGTCTTTAGATTGCACTCATCAAATCTGAAGTTAATCCGATTAAAATCGCCTTAAGTGACCACTAAATTCCAAATGACCGCCTTCCTCTTGGGTTTGGGTTATGGGTAGAGGCAAGAGGCTTTTTTGCTTGTCGGGTCATGATACACATGCGTAGCAATTTGCATACATATTGGTAAAACGTGCCGTCGCTGCTCGGGCTCTTAATCCGTGGGAAGCAGCAGAAAAGTAATAAAACTAGTAGCGTAACTAATTACAGTTGGCAGGGAGCAACAAGCAAAGTAATAACATTACTTTTGTAAAGATTAAGGAGTAATAAGTTATATTTGTTTGTGTCTAACACAGGTTGAAGTTGAAATGTGGTTAGATTTTTCTAGTATTGTTCAGTGTCTTTAATACAGTTGCATTTCTTACTGTCTCCAAACAGGTTGTACTCCTCGCAGCCCGGAGCCTGTTTTTCCGCCTGGCGACAGCAGAGCCACGCCCCTTCCTGCCAGAACTGAGGGTGAAACTTGGCCAAGATCACAGGGTTGTCTTTGATCTCTGCACACACAAACACACACACACATAAACGTTCGGCGTCTAGATCCGCGGTCTGACCTCGTACATGAGACCCGCCGTCACATTTTCCCACGGTCACCGAGTCGCAGATTTTATAGGATTCAAACAAAGCTAATAAACCTGAAACAACGTCATCATTTTTAACATAAAATATACACAATATTTTCATTTTCAGGGAGGAGGTAGTATACATCTACACATTAACACACCGCAAAGACTGCCATCGCGCACACAACAGGGATTATTATTTTTGATACTATACTCAACAATCTCATGTACTGCTGTCAGGATACAGTAAATATTTCAGCAAATACGACAATAAAGTTTATAATTTGATAACGCATGGCCTACATCAGTGGTTCCCAACCTGGCCGCGCTAGAAAACTTAAAGAATATAAATAGTATTGACAAAACAACATCAAATTTGTCAAAACAAGCCTATTAAGTCTGTATGATTGTTAAAAAATGATTAAAATAATGCTAATTACAGACAGAGAATTGAGAAATTTTCTCCAAATCACTAATTTTACACAAAGTTTCTGCGGTAATTGAGTACACTGTTTGGGTTCATTGTACAGTTTTTGATATAATATGTTTACTAATGAGGTCAATTTAGGAAAAAGGTTGGGAACTACAGGTCTATAGATGATGTGTGACAGGGAGTCTGAAATATTTTCACACACAAAACGTTCTTTAAACCTCCAATGAGTGGTTTTTTGGGAGGAAGCAGAAACAAGATGAGACCATAACACTGACTTAGAACAGCTGCCTGATGCTACTGTATGAGCCAGAAAACCATAAACAACGAACTGAACGATGTTATAAAGTCTGGTTAAAGACCTGATTGTCCTCCTGGGGGGACATGCAGACTAGGGATGGGAATCGAGAGCTGGTTCCAAATGGTCCGATCCAGATTAGCGTATATCATAAAGGCTGAATTAGCAGTTCCTGTTTGCTGTGTACTCACGGATGTACAGACAACTTTCACTGCATCATTGTGTTTTTTAAACCCAGCATGCACCTGTCCCTTTGATCTAACACCATATCTTTGCTTCACATCTCTCAGCAACCCTCCCTCCCCCCTCCCTCCCCCCTCCAACTGAAAACCCCCTGATCTATAACGAGGTGAGAATTAGAATTTCTTCTCTTATCGCCTCTAAAGCAGCGTCTGGCCCACAAATGCCACTTTTCAGGTAAAATGTCACGTTAGAGGCCCACAGACGGTGCCAGCAAGAGCAGTGGAAACAGCGGGGGCTGCTGGGAACTTTGACCCATGTGTGAAAACCAGTTTCAGATGTGTGGTTTTAAAGTGTTAAAACATCTTCAGCTCAGGTTATAAGACTGTACACTGTCGTTCCTCTGCAGCAGATCAGGTAACCTACCCTCTTTGAGGCTCTGGACCCACAGACTCCGGCTGTCATGGCTCGGAGCGAACACGTACAGGGTGATGTTATCATACACCACCTAGACAGAAACAAAAACTTGTTAAAGAGATACTGAAGTGAATTTATCTGCAGCACAGTTTAAAGACGGGTGGGGTGCTCGTCTTTATGTAAATTATGTTTTGTTCAGACCGATCACATGTTTCCTGGTCTCTCCGGAAGCTTTCAGCCAAAATTGAGAAGACTTTATCAGCTGATGAAAGCTGAGATGTGGCTGAAAGCTCTGGTGGACCAAAAGTCAGACAATACACAAATAAACAACCATAAATCCACTTGGAAATCATAGAAATAACCATTTAACTTCTTCAGTATTAGTAATGTAAGTAATGCAGTATGTACACTGCTATGAGGAGCCGCCAACAGCTAATTCAGCTACAAAAAGTGCTCAAATTGTAGCTCACAACTAACTAATTGTAATCCATGACACTTCCTGTGAACATCCCCCAAATCACCAAAAGTGATGATTGTCCTTTAAATAGAAGTAAGACATAGTAGGAGTGGAGGGTGAAAACTGTTGATCCAGATCATCTAAACCACTAAAACCCCCACTAGCTTTGAAAAAGCATGATGTGATTGAAGAACACGCATACACAGAAGGCCTATATGTTGTTTTTTGTAGAAAGTCTGTATGATTGTTAAAAATTACCCTGCAGTACAGAGGAGGTCATGTGGTTGAACGCAGTATCTTTGTGTTTGTACCTGAAACGGGTATTTGTTCTGGCAGGGGATGATTCCTCCTCCGTTTTTGACGATCTCCACACACCTGATTCGACTCAGCTCGATCGAGCCTCTCCTGAACTTCTTCTGTCGGTGGAAACAAACAAACAAACATTTGAGATTTTGTGTCGTATCACATTTAATCTGCAGCCTATCAGATCAGAAGCAACGAGCCGTTTATTTTAGGTTGTGGATTAGAAACCCAGAATAAACTATCATTTCCTTCAGCAGTGGATCTGATTTATGATAACAACACTGTTGGGTGTGTGCATCCGGTTCTAATCGCCAAACTGAATTAAAGTTGAGTGTGAAAGAATATCACACACTATGTGACATGTTTGTCACAACAATGCAAACCACAACTCGACTTAAAGTTTGTGTTTTGCTTCTGAATCGGTGACAGATGTTAATTTTAAGTCTAATTTAAATACAGAGTTGAAAACAAACAAACAAACAAATGGAGGGTTTTTGTTGTTTGTATTTTGAGGAATTGCTTGACGCTTGTTTTTTTGTATTAAAAACTTGTCTATACAGTAAATATGAAGCTAACTTAGCTTAGCTTAGCATAAAGACTGGAAACAGGGGGAAACTGCTAGCCTTGGTCTGTCTAAAGGTAACAAAATCCACCTACTAGCACCTCTAAAGCTCATTAAATTACAAGTTACATCTTTGTTTAACTCATACTGTACAAAAACTGAAGTGTAACAGCAATAAGTTGCTTAATTTCTTGCTAGCTGTCTCCCACTGTTGACCTATGCTAAGCTAAGCTAACTGGCTGCTGACTGCTTTATATTTAGGATCAATCTTCTTGTCAAACTCTCCACGAAACAGCAAAAAAACTATATAATATGTGACAAAATATATGTGAAACCTGCATGTGAACGTCTTATCTGATACAAAATGTAAATAAAAACAATAAAAATGACCTCGGCTCTTCCATCATAGTACGTCAGCCTGCTCTTGGTGAGGACAAACAGTCGCTCCTTGTAGTTCAGCGGCGACGTCTTCTTCTTCTGCTGCGAACGCTTGATGAGCGTCTCCTCCAATAGCAGCTCGGCACTCATCCTGGCCCCGCCCACGCCGCCTCAGCCCATTGGTGGATGATGTCAGAACGCAGGAGGTCAGAGCTGAGCTGCAGAGAGAGACACAGGTTTCATTTTAGACACAATAAATACTCTTTTAGCGTCTTTCAGCACGTTGTTTTTAGTTTTTTTTGGTTGACTCTCTCGGCTCTCATCAGATATTTCCCTCAGGAGTTAAAAGAGAGCGAATATTGGACTCAAAGTTAATTATAATGTTGCGCCGTAACTGCCGGATGTGTAACTAACCAACTGTTTGCCAACAAGTTCAACATATAAACTTTATAATACGCCAACGTCGTGTTCACAGGTTGTTCTCTACTGCCCCCAAGTGGCCGAAAAAGATCCGTTAATGCAAGTTTAACAGATCTGAACCCAGAAAACAAACAATCCACAAAACATTTCTAGAGCCGTCACAGTGATTTACGAGGACTACACATAAGCATTTTTGTTAATTACTCATTTGTAAGGTCTACAGCAGGATACTGTTTAATAATAATGATCAGTACCGACACCGTCCTGCCCCCAGGGGCCTGTGACCCTGTTAACTGCAGACTTTTCAGCCAAATAAAGTCTTTTGTTGGTTCATATGTTCGACTGAATGTTGGCCGTTAACAGAGTTAAACTTGTTAAACAGCATCAGCTCATTATTGAGATAATTAGCCGACCGGTTGCCATTTTCTTCTCCTGTGTGGTTTTTCTAATTCCTGGGCCGTACACTGAGAGTCTCTCTTTAGTCTCACCGCTGTAGGACACTTCCTCATCTTAACACTGAACATGGCGTGAGGGATGTGGCTCGCCGTCCTCTGCTGCTGTCTTATTGTGGTTTATGGTGTCAGCTCTGCTCTCTTCCTGCCGTCCTGTTCATAAAGTGTCAGATACGCTCCTTTATTCGACTGGCTCATGTCAGAGCTAAGAATAAATATGACATTAACCTGCTATATAGAGCTGGAACAACAGACCTTTTTCACAGCAGCTGTTTTTAAAAGGAAGTAGTTGGGTAAGGACAAGGATATTAATTAAGGTTCAGTTCCATTCAGGTTCAAACTGAGTCTGATATTGGCTGCACTAAATGGAACGCCTGAGTTTACCCGATCGATTCATGTCAAAGTGGCTGCTGTGAAAAAGATATAAGATGTAGAAGTAGTGTGTGTGCGTGTGTGTGTGTGTGTAAATATCATAAGTTTATATACTAATATTAAGTACGTTAATTCAAGTACATAAGTACAAGGCCTATATTGGAGTAGCAGTAGTATTAATATTAGCAGTAGTAGTATTAGTAGTAGTAGTTGTACTAGTATTAGGTATTAGTATTAGTATTAGTGGTATTAGTATTAGGTATTAGTATTAGTGGTATTAGCAGTAGTACTATTAGTATTAGTATTAGTAGTCGTAGTATTAGTAGTAGTTGTACTAGTATTAGTAGCATTAGTATTAGTATTAGTAGTAGTATTAGTAATAATAATAATAATAGTAGTATTTATGATATATATTTATATTCCACCGCTGTAAAACACACATTGACCATTCTAACGTCCGTCTTTCCGACAGCACCTGAACGCAGCACAAGGAAGCGACCTGCTCACCCTGTGTGACGGACACCGTGAACACCTGCTCGCTCACAGGTGGATTATTTATCCTCATGTCAGGTTGATTAACGCCAATAAACCCCCTTATCGATCCGATCAGACAGCGCCAGATAAACAACAGAGAGAACATTGATATCAGCCAGTCTCGGATTATTTCCTCCTGTTGTGTCTTTAAAACATTCCTCTCATATCACTTATTCATTCAACAACTCTGTCCGTCCTTTACTGGGAGATCTGAACCCATTAAAGCCGCTTCTGACAGCACGCCTGCAGCCTTTCTGTCGCCGTGAACTCTAAAACGTGTTGAGTCCGCGGTTTGTCAGCTGACAGCCGCAACTTTTAGCGCTAAAACTCCTTTAATGTGTAAAAAACAAAAGTGACGCAATGAACGTGTGTCTCACCTTCAGTCGTCATTCTCCAGGTATCAGCTCCTCACTGCGCGCTCGGTTCCCATGTCGCTGTAAATCAGAGGAGCGGGATTCAGGAAATGAAGAGAGAGGAAGGCAGACAGCCCACACACACACACACACACACACATTAACACACACATTAACACACACACACAATGAGAGAGAGACCTCTTTCTCTTTCTCTTTCTCTCTCATTGTGTGTGTGTGTTAATGTGTGTGTTAAACGCTGTGTGTGTGTGTGCT